TAGAATTTATGTTAGCTCTTCTCTGAATTGAATTCATCAGTAAAGCCATCTGGGACAAGATGTTTTGTTATTGAGAAAGTTTTCATGACCTAATCAATTTCTTTTTTTGTTCCGTTTATTTGTTCTGTCTGTGTTAGTTTAGGTACATTGTGTTTTTCTAAATATTTGCCCTTTTTTTCTAGATTTTCAAATTTGTCAGAGTACAATTCTTCATAGTATTCTGTTAGCCTTATTATTTCCATTGCTTCTTATGGTAATACTGTACTAAACAGAAGATCAGATACACTTGCAGTTATATACCCTTAACCAATCATGTAATCCCACATATACAAGTTGGTATCAACGTATCCCTTCTAAGTCCCCTCTCTTAGATACACTGTCTTTAACTCCCCTGATCATCTTTCAGTCAATTATGATTTTGTAACTTTTAGCTCTTGTTCCAACTTAATAAAAATATCTGGTGAAGTGGACATCTTAACTGTAAATTTGGATGTCTTCCCAGTCCAGACTATCTCTTTCCCTTAATGAACCTCTGTTTGTTTGTTTTTTTACTTTAAGCAGACTGTGTGATGTTACTCTGTTGTGTGCCGTTGAGTTTCTTACTGTTGTTGCTAAATGCCATTGAGTCAGTTCTGACTCATAGTGAGCCAGTATAGGGATTCTGAGGAGCGGTTAGTGGGTATGAAGTGCTGACCTTGAGGTTCAAGCTGACCCTGGGGTCCAGTGCTTTATCCTACAATACCACACCAGGACTTCTGTTACACTTCAAATACAGTAGTTGGCACTGCCTGTAAATAAATGAACAAATGTTCCAAGAATTTTAAGTTCACTCGAGTCAGAAATTCTCTAGAGTATGTCAGAAGTTAAGTCTCTTAAAGTGAAGTTGCTTTGCATAATGTTTCAGAGTGTAACTCCAAGGACAGTGCAGTCACTAAGCATCTGCTTGGTCCACAACAAATTCTTTACAGCCTTTATTTCCTGGGATATTTTAAAAGTAGTTCTCTCATTATAACACTACATTCTGGATAAATTACTAAAAATTTCAGACTCTTTAGTACATGGTGTCATTTTCAAGAAAGTAAGAAAAAGCCTCTCCCCAACCCATGCTAAATAATAATAATAATAATAAAGGGGCCATCAGCAGGAACTGAATGGTGAGTGATCTGCACAGGAGAAGGCCATGGTCTACTGTGGTGAGATCAGTGCCTGAGGCCAAGAGAATGAGAGGCTAGGTGGGCCCTGTAAGGCTGGGGACTGAACTGGAACATTCTGCATTAGTTCAAAGGGGCTATACTCTTAGTGAAATATTGAGCTTTAAAAACAAACAAACAAAAGAGCAGCAAAGGCAGCTCACCACAAATCTTATCCATCTCTACAAGGTTATAGGTGAAAAAGAATTAATAAGGATAAATAATTCTAAATTCCCCTAACAAAATATTTTTTTCACTTAGGTTTGGAAAAATATTGAGAGATAAATATCTAGAAAATCTAGCATAAGAAGGTAAAAAATAGCACATCAAAATAAATATACACACATATGTACATGCATATATAAGCACACCTTCATACAGTAAGTACAGTTGGAAACAGTTCCTTTAAAGCAGGAACATATAGACTCTGGAGTCAAACCTCTTGGATCTAAACCATTATCTATCATTTACTACTTGTATAAAAATGAGCAGGTTAAAAATAAAACTCTGTCCTTTAGTTTCATCACTTATAAAATAAAACGTTGTGGCTCTGTGGGTTAATGAACCAGACTGCAAAGCTGTTTGAACTATAAGGTCAGTGGTTCAAGTTCCTCAGAAACCCTATACAGGGTCACTATGAGTCAGAACCAACCCGATGGCACTTAACAACAACAACTTCACAAGGTTGTGAGGATTAAATAAATTAATGTACCTGATGCATTGAGACTACATAGCAAATATTACATAAGTGCTAATTAATAACATTATCTTCATTGCTTCTGCCCCCTTTCCCCCCCCCCCCCCCCGCCAGTGTACCTGATGACCTAGATAGCCCATTAGGAAAATAAGAGACCATCATTATGCACATGTGGCATGGTTGTCTTCATAGATAATTCAAAGAGTATCTCAAGAAAACTTACTAGAATTAATAAGGGTATTTAACAAGGCAACTGAACAAAAGAACAATATGCAAAATACTTCCTTTAATAAAGTATTTAATCCAGCAATGTATATTAAAAATATTATAATCAAATTCAGTCTAACTCAGTAATGCAGTTTTACTATGGAGAATGATTTTACCTATATGAATTATAAATACTTATATTTCTAAGTATATCAAGATTTGTGAAACATGCCTTTAACATGGCTAGGAGTTAGCAGTGGTACATGACAGCATTCACTGTGGTTGTTGATAAACAGCATCGAGTTGTTCATAGCAATCCTGTATCAGGTTTCCAAGGAGTGACTAGTGAGCTTGAACTACCAACCTTGTGATTTAAATGTACCTTCGGGTTCAGAGCTTATCCTACAGAGCTACACCAAGGCTCCTTGTTAACCACCTCAAATAATGTAAATGAACTCAGTTGATTCCTTCTTTTTCTTTTCCAACATTAAACTTAAATAGCATCTTGGTCTACTTTTTTCTCACGGCAGCTATATTGTTATTGTTGTCAAGTGCTGTTGAGTCGGTTGGACTCATAGTGATCTTATATAGGATTTCTGACGAGCAGCTGGTAAGTTTGAACCACTGTCCTTGTGGTCCAAACCAACCTTTTGTAGAATAGCATAATTTATATCAAAAAGTTCCATATACTTCCCACATCTAAAATTCACGGAAATCTGTGTTTGCGTTTCAACACTCTTAACCACAGTTCTAGCCCTGCATTACTATTTGTAGATTACACTACTTAACCTCTTAAGGTGCTTTTCACACCATAAATTAGCTTATTCATAAAACTATGAGCTTCCTAATTGATTTGTAGGATCATATCCCAAAAATTTTACAGACTGTATTCTTATAGAATGTAAGATGAAATAGAATAGGAGGCCTTTTACAGACAGATGCTAGTGTTTTGTTAATTAAATTCTGTACTATAAAAAATTGTAAAAATATTTCATTGAGAATACAAAAAAAGGAAATTAAAACAACAGAAATAATTAATTGAAAGAAACTCAATATTTTATTTTTATCAAATTACATTTGACGAAGCATACCTAACAAACTCACAGGTAAACACCTATCCTATATAACACAACTACATCTTATATCTAATCATTGATATGGATTAAATGGGACTTAAATTACTAACAAAGGATTTTCTACATTTTTCAGCCTCAAGTATAATCTCCAGTTTAATACTATTAGCCTATATTATTCACATAGCACACATCAATTTCTAGAATTAAGTCATTTTGTTTTTTTAAATTGGAATGTTGTTTCAAACTTATTCTTTAGGACTTATTACAGACAAAGACCTTTTTGTTGTTGTTAAGTGCCATCTAGTGGAAGTCTATTCTGACTCAGTGACACTGTATAGGGTTTCCCTCCTTTCAGAGGAGGGGCTGGTGAGTTTGAACCACTGACCTGTGTTTCAAACTGACCTTGCAGTCCAGGGCATTAACCCATAATACCACTCCAGGACTCCAAGGACCCTTTGTTGTAGTTGTTAAGTGCTGTTAGGTCGATTCCAAACCATAGTAACCCTGTATAGAGTTTCCAAGAAGCAGCTTGAGTGAAAGCCACCAACCTTGTGGTTTAAACCAATTTTGCAGGCCAGCACATTAGCCCACAGAGCCACACCAGGACTCCTAACACCAAGGCTGCTAACAGCAATCTGCTCCTCAGAAGAAAGATGAGGTTTTCTGCTCCCATAAAGAGTTGCAGTCTCAGAAACCCTATACGCTATGATTCAGAGTCGATTCAATTGCACACAATTACCATTACTCTCAAATGTTCAGAATTGGGAACATTAGAAAAAATTATACCCTTAATTTCAGTCTCATACATATACAAACTTTTCCCCATTTAATAATTAAAGAAAAAAAAGTTAATGTGAGCCAAAATACAATTTTTAATATAAACAAATATAAATGTTAGCATCAGCAGCTATCAGAAACAGTCATGGGATGTTTATGTCTCAGTGCCCATCCTAACAAATACAGGACGCTTTATGAACCTTATACTGTTGTCACTGACCCTTGTTTTATTTCAAATTACTGCACAAATAAACATGATGTTAAAAACATTTATCTTCATCGTTTAGATCAGCTTTAAGATATTAAGTAGCCATATCAGTAACACAATTGTATATTGGTATAAAGATGATTTAGTGGAAAATCTAATACAAATAATGTAAGCAGAACATTGACAAACCAAAATGCAATGTTAATTATTTAAAGGTAAAATAAATTAACCATTTGGAAAATGATTATTTCCCTGGTATACTTATATTATTGAAGGGGGAATGAAGGAAGCTTTAGGAAAAAAATATAAAAACAACTTTGGGGTAAAGTTCATGTTAATTTCTTTATATATCAAATTATAATTTAATGCCTGTTCCTATATTCATTTTAAATATTTTCAATCAGTAGCTAAAACTAAATAAAACACACTATAAAAATGTACAAGACAGGTAGTCATGAAACAAAATATATTATTTCAGATGATTAAAAAATGAAAAATGGCAACAACATTTACCATTTGGTTCTTCTTGATGATTTATTTCAATTTCTGCAAAAATAAAAGAAAAGTGCAGTTAATAATAGATCTGTCTGCTGACGTTATTAAGTGGGAAAAAGTGTGACTTCAACTCTTTAATGAAAGCAAATTCTTATATTGGTTTTTAACTTATAATAGGGGAGATAACATTACAAAGACCTCTTTACATGTTTAATATTTACTGTGAGGAGAAACTATGAATATCAATGCAAACCAATAGCATCAAAGGAGATGTTCAGGGGTAATTGGGGAATGTTCCATGTCTCAAGCTGCAACAAAACAATCTTGTATTTTCTGTTACTAAAGACTCATTAATCCTTACCTTGAAGATATAGCTCAATTTCTGAATGAATTATGCCCTGAGACATGAAGGGAAGCCACCTGAAGAAAAAAAGATAGAGAAAATTCATTCTTGTTTTTATCTACTTTTACAACAAGCTTGATTCTGAAAAAAATTGCACAATAAAAATTATAAAAAATTGTTTTTTATAAAGTAAAACCCAACCCAACCTCTTATGTACATATAATCATAATGAAAATGTATGAATGTATAAAATGATAAAATCTGTTCTCTTTTTTCCAGATTTATCAATCCTCAATCACTAGCACCTGTACTTGCAGCATAGTGGTTTACTCTCTATACCATGTTGGAACCAGGGCTTTGAACTAGTCTGAACTGATTCAGTCATGGCCTACTAAATGACATTGTAACAGACATGAATTTTAAAAGTTTGGATGATGCATAATGATAACTGGAATGGGAAAAATCCTGAGTTAAAGACCAGTAATAGGAGACTGGAAGAGGTACAATGAGTCCTTTCAGGAGTCTGATGTGAGATAATGGATTACTGCCAGCACTCTGGAAAGCAACACACATCCACAGCTGCATGGGTGACTGCCATCTTTGAGAAGGGTGCCATTGTTTCTAACTCTGTTAGCCAAGAGATTTGGTTGTTACGCAACATGTACAGTGCCCCTTTTTCTCTAACTGGGAGAATAAGTTTCAAGGAGGGCATCAACCTATAATTTTTTTCCATTCAACTTAACCATTCAGCTTCTCCCAGTTTACAAATTCAGGTCAATTCCATGACTGACCCAGGAAGAACTGGTTCCAACACTTGTTTGTTTGTATTGAGCCTGGTGCTTGGGCTAGACAAAAAGTAGCCCTGGCTTTACTGGTCTGAGAAAAAAATTGGCACAAAGAAATAAGTTCTATCCCTTGTCTACTATTGTAAACTATACATTTAAGTGTAATAGAAAGGAATATTGGGAATTGTGATTACAGAAAGCTTGTAAGCCCATCTTTAGTCTATAACTGATTTGATTAGCTAAAAGGGAAATTAGAATTTTCCCAAGAAAATAGGCTTCCTGTTAAGCCTTTGTGGAGTATGGGGCTATATGTGGAATCCTGAGCCCCACTCAGAACTTATGATGCGGAACATTTCCACTTGAAAAGACATGCAGACTAACCTGGACTGGCTAGAAGAAGATACTTTTTTGAAAGAACCACCAGCAGAAAAAAGCAGACTGTTTGGTTGTTAGAATATCAAGCAAGCTGTTTGCCTAAGAGCCATCAAGGCAAGAAAAGTCAGCCATCAGGGAAAACCCCCTTCTAAGGACCATCAAGAAACAAGAACATGAGTGGAGTGTGAGCTCCTACCCAGAAAAGCATCAACAGCAGCAACGGTGGCAGAGTGATGGCATAGAGAGATAGAGAAGCTGAGGACTCTAGGCCCATGGACTGAGAAAGGTTGTGTGCTTGTGAGCAGGAAGCTGACTTGCAAAATGACCCTTTGGACATTTAAATGAATATTTATTTTTTGTTTTATAAGTATA